CCCCAAAACCCCAAAACCCCAAAACCCCAAAACCCCAAAACCCCAAAACCCCAAAACCCCGGGATTTTTAAACAAGATTGAATGGAATTTAGATCATTTTTGCCTTAGCCTCAGTGAAGAGAGCCCTCATTGTGAAGTTGCTTATGGGAAGGTAAGGGCTACGCTTGGTTTTTAAAGCCTGAGGATCTTTGACTGAGTCTACATTGGCTGTGATCTGCTCTGTGGAGGGATCATATCTGAAGAGCGTCAGATCTTGCTCTCCATCCGGTCTTATAACAGGAATCAAGCATGTAGAAGTGAATTCAGGGTTTATCATAGGAGTTATAAAGGAACTAATACAAGGAGATTTTCCTTCATAATAAAAAGCACATGCAGAATTGAGAAAATCAAACTTTTCTGAGACTTTTTCAACTTGAATGTCTTTGTGCTCAAGAGTGATCTGGCTCATATCTATTTCTGGAATGCTAGATATTGACTTGTATCCAATATCTACAAAATCTTTGTAGATTTCATAACCGAAAACTTTTATTTCTCTCTCAGAATTTAATCTATCTCTGACATATTGAGTGAGTAAAGTGAGCATTGCTGTTGTGCACCCATATCCAAATCCAATATCTGCAATATAAATAGGGTGAGTGTTAGGCCCAGCAAATAAATTCTCAATTGCGGCTCAAGAAACCTCAAGTGCAATTGCTTGCATCACAGGAGATGTAAGTTTCTGTCCATGATCGAGTAAATCTGGATCAGCTGAATAAGGATTCTCATTTGTATCATTACAAAATAGTGCTCGATCTACTTTCTTAAACACCTCATATACTTCAGGAGTGTATACCAGATTATTCCTCTTAAGGGCATCTGCTAATTCAAGCTGAGTCGTTGGTTTATCGCTCATCCAGCTCATTGATGCACTGACTAGGAGTTCATCTGAAATATCTGACTTGACTTGTGAGAAGTGTCTGATAAATTTCCTGATATTTCTTGGCTGTAAGCGAGATGCATTCGACAACATTTTATTATTTTAATTAATGTAATTAATATAAGGGGTTTTGGGGTTTTGGGGTTTTGGGG